ATATATATATGTATGTATATATGCTAAACTCCCCGATGTACCTATCTATTTTCTGCCTCATGCCTGCATGCTGCTCAAGCCACACAATGAGCAGTATGCACACCATATCCACAAACACTGAAAACTCGTGAATAAGTGTTAGCGTAGCTAATCGGTGCGGCAGCACAAGAAGGAACGGCGTAGCAGTTGAGTGCTAATGCGTTTGTAGATGGTGACTACCGCTTATTTCATTGAGAAGCAGATAGCACAAGAAAACGCAAATGCGCACCAAGTATTCACCTCGAGTTGTTTATCAGATGAAACGTTCAGCAAAGGAAATAATGGGTTAGCAAACCGACTACACAGTATCTTAATTAGTATCATGTACATTCAATGTAGATCTGAAGCAAGCTGAAGCAACTACTACTGGAACATTGGTTAAGTTGTATGTGAACATCATATGCTGGACGAGTACTAAAAGAGTTCTTACAGTTTTCATTTCTTGTTAAATGTTACTTACATATACGTAGAGAGCTCGGCACTGCACATTAGGATTCCGGCGAGTATTTGAGTTGATTTCACGGTTGCATCAGTCTGTAATGGTGAGACACAGCCTGAAGACGATGTAGATATTAGTTAAGCGCCAAACGAAAATCTTCTGTTATTCGATTCCAATGGAAAGATGCAGCGAGCATGACCCCAACACCAAACGAGCAATACACAGAATAGAGGAGTAGAGGCTTAAGGCTCAACAGGTGGGCTTGAAGTAGCGACTAAAAAGTATCTACACTGTGGTTCTGTGCTGATGCTACACAACATTCAAATTGCGTGTTAATGAAACACTGCTTAAGTATCTGTCATGTTTGACTGAGCATATGTACTATACAGACACGTGCACAGGTACAGCTGACTGAGACTAAATGAGACTAAATGCCCGAAGGCAATCTATCCTTTGTGCCAGGCTGACTGTCATCCTCCGTATTACCACATCCCTCCCACACGGGCCATGTTCGTCATCAGCACCAAGCCGCCCTCTGGTGGGCGCCTCGAGAAGTTGTGCGAATTAGGCTCTCGAAGAATGAGTGCTCTTTCAACAGGCGACTGCGCGGTGCTGGTTCTGACTTCTCCGTAGAACCTTGCCGACCGCCAGTGCCTGTGCCACTGCTACTACCCTTGAGCTGCTGCTACTGAGCTACTGCTACTCGCACTTCTGCTGCTGCTGCTGCTGCTGCTGCTGCTGCTGCTGCTGCTGCTGCTACGTACTACTACCATTGCTATCACTACTACCACTACCACCACTACCACTACAACTACCACTACCTCTCCCACCGCTACCCCCACTACCGACAACAGCACCGCCACCGCTGTCGCTACCGCGACCCCCACCCTCCCCCCCTACCACCGCGACCACTACCACTACTGCTACTGATTCTGCTACCACCGCTGCCTCCTATATCATTGCTCGAACCACGTGAACCCAGGAATGAATGCTTGAGTTGTATACGCCTGTGCCGTTTGCAGCGAGGCCTCCCTGATCCCTCGAAATCTTCGCCTGAGTTCGTGAACTTTGTGTTCGGCCCACGGTGAGCTGGGGAGGTTTGTGCGTGCTTGCATTGAGATATTTGGGTCAGCAGTTCCACGTACACTGGGAATGCGGACAGGACAGGTGTGATGTTTGAGGGCCAGCTGTGGATATCGCTTTAATCTTTCGATGAGTTTTTGCTCGTCTGAGGTGGAGAACAGGTCGTAGCCCTTTATGATCGTTGATGTGGGGTCATGACACAAAGGGTATGAGACTGTACACCTAGGCCGGGCCTGGCAATTCAAGTATCAGCTACACAACATCACAAGCTAAGGTAGTTAAAGCCCAAAGTGGACGGTGGTTATCAGAGGACCCTCCCCTGACTGCCAAAATTGAGGTCAGCCTGTCTCACAGTTCAGTCGGAGCGACCACCGGCGCAGGTGCCACCCCAACAAAGGGGACAAGGTTTTGTGGAGTTGTGATTTGTATAAACCTTGGGATGAGGATGTTTTCACCGAGGGTCTTCGTCAAAGACCCTTCGCGACAATTTTCCCCTGTGCTCGAATTCGGCAGGCAGGGCCTTTCCACAAATTCCACAAACTCACGCAATCCTTCGGAAATTTATCTTCGGCTGGCAGTCGAAGTCGATGGCATCCAGCGATCTCGAACCCGAAGCTACGCTCCTGCAAGGGCCGTTCTGCCCTGGGCGAACTCCACGTAGATGCCTGTGTACCAGCTGCAGCACTGTAGATCTTTCACAAGCACTTCTGATCGAGAGTTTGAGTTCGATTCTCTGACTTAGGTGCCATCTGTGTCACGATCCCAGGTATGTCACCATACACACGCTTTTTGTATGCTGTTATTATAATCTGCATATTTGTTGTGGGGGTGTTGAGGCTGCCAAAGTCATTTTTGAAGATCGAGTTTCTGGGCTAAGCTGGCTGTGCCCACGTGTCTACAGGCCTGGGCGATGAAGCGCAACGCGTATCTTCACAGTACCAGCCGTAGCAAGACACTTCCTGGGTTCTTGTTAAGGGATTTAATTTAAGTTACCATAATAAGGAAACCATATTATTTACTATAGATCCCTATTATGGTAACTTAAATTAAATCCCTTAACAAGAACCCAGTTGTTTGCAGGTGCTGCTCCAACATGCTTTCACTCAGCTCACAAGCGAAGCCGCGAAAGAGCCGTGCAAGGTGTCTTGGCGGTCAAAGTTCAGTCGCGCTGCCTTGCTCTGCTAGGTCACTAGGTAGAAGCATGACTGCCAGAATGCGGCCTTCATCCGTCTGCTTAATCCGTTTGGCAAGACCAACGTGGATATCGCTGTCAGTCATATAGTAGCAGCTGATCAGACGGAAAAGAGCGCCGTCGATGACTGTTAGTGTTCAGAATGCCCTATCGTCCCCTCGAGCCAAGGCATTCAACTAATATAGGGGCCTATATAATTACCTATACTATTTGGGGGCTCCTTATTAAAAATAACTCCAAACCCATGCCTGGAGAGTACGTAGCCTCCGCCCCGTCCTCCAATCCGGGGCCACTGGTTAGACTACGATCGACCTGAGGTTCGAAACCCTGAGCTCTAACCCCCTTAGAGTAACTGCGAAGTACCTGTAAAGTAAGCCTTCAGTTTCCGTCAAAGTACCAAGCCCTTATAGCAGCTGTTACAGTGCCCCTGCAGTCCCAAACCCCATAGGAACCCTATCAAAAACTGATAAAACTCTCCAGAAAACCTTGTCGTTTTGCAAAAGCAAAGTATGCAGCCAGGCTTTTTAAAGAAGCAGCCTGGCACCAGGCCCTGCAAGCAGAGCTCGGGCCACGATTGGCTCTGGCGCCTTCCTCAGGCCTGGGCCTTGGGCTCCGAGTCTTCGAGGGCGACTACATGGGCGGCTGTTGGGCTCTCTAGTAAAGGGGTTAACAGGCCTATACTAGAAGGGAAACTACAAGGGGTTCTTGGGGGCTATTAGGGCTACGAAACAGGTGTGAAAGGGCACTGTGAGGGTTACCGTGGGAGCTTTCCCAGGACAAATCACTGGGGCTATTGGAAAGACGGTGGGCTTTATTGGTGCAGACCCGGCCCCAATCTCCACGACACCCCAACAAGCCATAGTCGCAACCGCCGTGGAAGGCACAGGCGGCAACTCGCCATCCCGCACGACGAACAGTCAAGGCTCCCACTCGGATCAGCAAGCTACATTACATTACGTTACATTATGTCGTATTGGTTCCTACATTTTCTCCCCTTTGTCTTCCTTCATGTTATGTGGTAAAGTATTGTATTGTATCGTTCCGTACTGTATTGCAATATACGGCTTTAAGGTATGGTATGATCTATGTTATGCTGCATCATACCTTATGTAAGAAATCACATGTGCTATATACCCTGTAAAGTATGATATGTGTTATATAGTCTGAGTCTTATGGTGAAAAATGCAGAACAGTTTATGCATTGCTAGCTCATTTTCTATGGTTTATATTGTGATTTGATTTGTACATTGTAGTATGTTATACCGTTTCGTACTACATGACTATATATTCTGTTATACTACACTGTACTGTGCCATACTATGTTATATTATTGTATGTAATGCTAGTTGATGCGATGTTGTGTCATCTTTTTTTGAATATAGAAGCATTCTACTGTATTGTGCTATGTTGTAACTAAGTACATCATTACTGTACTGTGCTATAATATAAGTTCCTGCATCTGGACGACTTGGTTGGCTCATGGCAGCACAAGCCACGTGCAGGAGCGTCTTCGAGTGGTGCTTGGAACTGCTTTCAAGGGTGGGGCGCTGTTAGCATCGCGTTGAACATGTCTCCATGCCTGTCTCCTGTTTACGTCGTTTCGAACATTGCCCTGAGCCGTGAATAGAGAGCTGAGCCCCCGGGTATCTTACGAGCTCCGCCGGGTTTGGGGTTTTGAGTAGGGTTTAGGATTTGGGCTTGTTTGCTGCGCATCTGTCTGAAACAGGCGGGCGGAATGGCTCATGGCAAAGATTGTCCGGCACTCTGGTTTGGAGAACACCTAGGGGCTCATGCTATGATCAGAGTACGGCTTTCTGGCCAAATTGTGTCCAAAGCTATACAAGGACTATACTGGGATATTGCATCCTTTCCAATTCCTTTCATTCCAACGACAATGACAACAACTTGCACAGGCTTCTTACGATCCTTGTGGAGCCTGTCCGTGTGGCCCAGTATTTCAGCCTCGACTTGAGCAACGAGGGCTGATTGTTCTGGTTTGAGGGGGAGTAAGTTAAAGTTCTGGGCCCTGGCTGGGATTTGCAGGCATAGCCGATCGGGCCGAGCTGTCGCGGTTCCTTGTTCCGGAATCTTAGACAAAACTCTAAACCTCAGACCCTAAGCCTTAAGCCCAAAACTCTCTAAACACCTCAAATCCTTCGGACTTTCAAATCCTTCGGAATTTCGACGAAGATCTCCAGGTCGGCAACTGGGACGAACTCGGCAGCTCCCCGAAATCCCGGCGGCTGGCGACTGAGGGACGGGCGCAGACATGTTCCCAACAAGTTATGACACTATTTGGAGAGAGAGGTGTGTAAAGTGTAATTAATTATATCTGTATATATGATACATAAATCGTGTATATTGCATATTACATATATATATATATATATAACACGTACATGTGTAGGTACATATACGTTAGCTGTACCTGCTTACACGCCTCGGCGGAAGCTGCAGCTCGGGACCCGGCGCGGGAGACCGCCAGGATTTCGAGAAACTCGACGACTCGGCAACACCTCCCTTTGCGGGCGAGCCCAAGACGACCCCCCAAGAACACACCAAAAAGGCTTACTTACAAAAGTCTGGGGGGCCAGAGGAGCTATTTGGCAGATAATAACAACAGGGTATCTTGAGCATATGTATGTATGTATGTATGTATGTATGTATGTATGTAGGGTTTGGATCGAGCGCCCCCCGGAAGCAGGGCAGCATAGCCATTCCCCAGTGCCACTGTGCACGCCTTGACCAAGCAGCCATACCGCTGCGGTCACCTAACTGGCACCGACAAGAACGGCGCCACCGCTCCCGAGCTCGTGCTAGAGTCCGCAAGGCCAGGGCCTCCGGTAAGGCCCCATCTTTCTCTGATCTCCGACTGCTCGCACTTCACCACTCCAGACCTCTATACACAGAGCTCTGCTCTGCACCGAGATTCCGGAAGGTTATACAGCCACGAATGGGTGGCAAGCGAGGATGGGGACGCGGTGGCAATGGTGGTCAGTCTTCGTCGTCCTGGGCGCAGGCCCCCAACTGGAATTACTGGAAGGGTGCGAGGTCACCCCGGGGTGGCCGATACACCGAGGTCAGGTACGACCAGATCGACCGGAGACAGCCCCCAACCGATGGGGACCTGAGCGATGCAGGGGGTGGCAAGACCGCCTTCCTGCAAGCCGTTCAGAGAGCCGTTACGACGGCGCGGAAGCACGATATCCGTTTAAGGAAAATCAACGAGGAGCGAACTGCACGCCAAGCCTGTTGGCAGCAGTACAAAGAAGACACCATGAAGAAGTATGCCAAACAGAAAAAGGAGTTCGAGATGGATATGCAGCGTCTGGAGTCGGACTATGCGGCGACCATGGAG